TTGGATATTTAATTATTGTGGTGGTGGTTGTGTAGGCAATACTCATTATCTTGCACAAAATCAAATACCAGTGAGAAGGCAGAAATCCTGGTCTTCTGACTCCAAATCCCAGGTTCTTTCTCGTACCATGTGTTACTCTATTGACTGTTTATTTCTTTTTAAAATGATTAAAATACCACAGCACTGTATGTGTTATCCAAAGACACTGAAGTATTCTCTCTGATTACACAGAGCACAAAATAAAAGATCACTGGAAGTGAAAAGTAATACTGTTTCATGGTTCTTTTGCATTTGTTTGCGAAAAAGAGTCCACATTCCTCAGCTTCCCAAGGAGAAGCTGCACAGGAGTTACAATTCTTTGACATCAAAACCAATGTCAGTCCTGCTAACTAAAAAGACTGCTGTGATTTGATGGTATAGAGGCCAAAGCGTCATCTTTTTCAAATGTATTTTCTTATTTTAATCCAGCCTCCCCCAAACAAAACAACTGGTGCAGCTGCAAGACACCCTAGCTTTCTGGTTCACTGACTACTTAGGCGTAAATAACTGGTGTACTTGCTCGCTCCCTTAACTACTACTGGGCTTGGCACAGCCCCAGGATCCTTGGGTACTGAACCATAGAGTTAATTTTCCAGGCTCACTTTAGCCTGGTGTGAACTTCAGACAAGGTGGATCTGGGGAATTCACGTTGACTTTCCCACCTCATTTTAAAACAATTTTTTTAATTGTCAGAAAGAAACATTCACCAACATACACCATATTCTGGGCCATGAAGCAAACCTCAACACATTTCAAAGAATTTAAATCATACAAAGGGATTTCTCTGGAAACAGTGGAATTAAATGAGAAATCAGTAACAGAAAAATATCTGGAAAATCCCCAAATAGTTGGAAATTAAACAACACACTTCAAAATAACCCACAGGTCAAACAGGAAGTGTCGAGGGAAATTAGAAAATATTTTGAGCCCAGTTGGTGTGGCTCAGTTGGTTGGAGCATTGTCCTGTGCACTGAAAGGTAACAGGTTCAATTCCCAGTCAGGGTACATACCTGGGTTGCAGGTTCAATCCTTGGTTAGGGTGGAGGCAACCAATCAATGTTTCTCTCACAATGATGTTTTTTTTTTTCTCTCTCTCTCTCTGTTTGGAATCAATACATACATATTAAAAATTAAAATGGATCAAAATCACTTAATTTAATGTTTAAAAAATGTTTTGAGCTGAATGAAAATGAAAATACAACATATCAAGAATTTTGAGATGCATTTAAAATGGTGCTTCGTGGAAAACTTGTGGCATTGAAGGCTTACATTAGAAAAGAAGAAAGATTTAAAATTAATGGTGTAAGCTTCCAACTGAAAAACTAGAAAAAGCAGCTAAAACAAAGCAAGCAGAAGGAAGAAAATAATAAAGAGATGAAATCAACAAAATTGAAAAAGAGAAAAAGCACAGATGACATAAATTAAATCAAAAGCTGTTTCTTTAAAAGATCAAAACAGTTGATAAGTCTTAGTCAAACTGCTCAGGAAAAAGAAGGGGAAAATTACTAACATCAAAAATGACATAGGAAACTCTATTACATGTCCTATAAACATTAAAAAGATAATGTAACATTATTACAAATGGATAGCATTAAAAATAATAATGTATAATTGTTATATATGAGCAACTTTGTGTTCAGAAATTCAAATATCTAGATAAAATAGGCAAATTCCTTGAAAGACACAAACTACTAAAGCTCATTCAAGAAGAAACAAATATACTGAATAGTCCTATGTTTTATTAAAGAAATAGAATTTGTAATTTAAAATATTTCAATTATGAAAACTTCATGCTCAGTTTCCTTCACTGGCAAATTCTACCAAACACATAAGGAATAAATAATACCAATTTAATATAACTACCCCCAGGAAATATTAGAAAAGAAAACATTTCCCAATCATTTTATGAGTTCAGCAATACCCTGATACCAAAACTAGACAAAGATATTACAAAAAAACTACAGATCAATATATCTCAGTAGCAAAAATCCTCAAAAAAGTACTGTTAATCAATTCCAGTAATGTATGAAAATGATAGAATGTCATCACCAAGTTGGTTTTTATCCCAGGAATACAAAGCTAGTTCAACATTTAAAAATCAATCAATATAATTCACTATATCAACAGACTAAGAAAAATTGTAAGATAAAGAAAAATCATACAATCATCTCAAAAGATGTAGAAAAGCATTTGACAAAATTCAACATCAATTCATTATTTACAAAAAACACCTCTTGCCCTAGCACATGTGGTTCAGTTGGTTGGAGCATTGTCCTGTAACCGAGAGGTTGTGGGTTTGATTTCTGGGGGTGAGAGAACATACCTAGGTTGTGGGTTCGATCCTCAGTCCTGGTGCATACAATCCCTAGTCTGGGGGTGAATGGGAGGCAACCAATTGATGCTTCTCTCTCACATCAATGTTTCTCTCTTTCCTTTCCTCTCTCTCTAAAAGCAATAAAAATATGTCCTTGGGTAAAGATAACAGAAATAAAATAAAATAAAATAAAAAATAAAATAAAATAAAATAACACCGCTCAGCAAACTGGAATTAAAAAGAACTTTTTCAGTCAAATAAAGGACCTCTGTATTACTTCTATTTGCTGCATAACAAATAACCTGAAAACATAAATATCAAACATTTATTATCTTACAGTTCCTGGAGGTCATGAACACAGATATGACTTAGCTAGGTATCTCTGGATCAAGGCCTCTCGAAAGATTAACTTATATTTGTCAGCTGGGGCTCAATGTCATTGGAAGGCTCACTGTAAGGGTGTTGTGAGCAGTGGGGAGGTCTACTTCCAAGCTCATTCACATGGTTGTTGGCAGGATTCATTTCCTCACAGAATACTGGACTAGTGCTGAAGTTCTTCCTGGCTGTTGGCTGCCTCAGTTCCTTGTCATAGGGCAGCTCACAACGTGGCATCTGTATTCCCTCAGGAGCAAGAAAGTGAGAGAGCACAAGTGAGCACCCAAGGTGGAAATCAGTCTCTGTAACCTACCCTCAGAAGTGGTATTACATTACTTTTGACATATTCCATTCCTTAGAAGCACGTCACTAGGTCAAGCCTACCCTGAAGGGAAGGGGAGCACACAAGGGCATGACTACCCAAGAAGCAGCGGTTATCAAGGGCCATCTAGAGGCTATCAACCACAGCATTGACAAAGGAATCTCGCTAGCATCATACCTAGCGGTGCGAGACTGAATGCCTTCCTCCTAAAATCGGTAGTATGTATATCTGCTGTCACCACTCCTATTTGAGTTCACACTGGAGGGCCTACCAAGTGCAATAAGGCAAGAAAAAGAAATAAAAAGCATACCAGTTAGGAAGAATTAAAACTGTCCCTATTTGCAGATGATATGATTGTCTACATAGAACATCCCAAGGAATTTCCAAAAACTTCCTAGAACTTATAAGTGAGAAAACATCTGAATGGCAAATAAGCATATAAAAAACTGTTCAACATTAGTCGTTAGGGAAATGCAAGTTAAACCACAGTAGACCATTACCTACATATTAAAATGGTTGAAAATCAAAAGACCTAGCATATTAAGTGTTGACAAAGATGCAGAGTAATTAGAACATTGCTGGCAGAAAGGTAAAATGCTACAGTCTCTGTGGGAAACATTCTGGCAGTTAGTTCAATACCATATACTTCTTATATGACCCAGCAGTACTCCTCCTAAGTATTATTTTCCCAAGAGAAATGAAAACATGTTCACACAATAGACCACACATGAATGTTTATTGTGGCTTGGCTTACAGTCACCAAAACTGGAAACAACTGAAATGGTCTTCAACTGGGAATGGATAAACAAGCTATGGTACATCCATACAATGGAACATTACTCAGTGGTAAAAAAGGAATAAACTACTGATAATGCAACAAAATGGATGAACTTCAAAAGATTTATGAAAGTGAAAGAAGCTTAGCTCAAAAGGCTCCATAATATATAACTCCATTGACATGACATTCTGGAAAAGGCAAAACTATAGAGAAAGAAAACACATCAGTGGTTGACATTTGCACACAATTTCTGGGAGGTTCAGATGACCTTTGGTGAACCCTTGGACCCCACCATATGCTGCTCCAAGTCAAGGCTGCCACCAGTCCTTCTCCAGCCAGCTCCAGCTGCTACCTGGCCCCTATCCTGATTTATGGTTAGTGCCATGCTGCTCGGCACGGGATTTTGTCTTTGTTTTATAGACAATACGTTATTTTTTTTCTCCTTGGGTATTACTTCCAGGGGAAACATCCACCTGAGTGCTAGGTAGATGAAATGGGATAGATAGATAGATGGTCAAGTATTGAGGCAGTCTACCCAGTGGCAAGTCGCCTTATTTCATGATTTCCCCCGGTTTATTAACTTCCCTCCTTTGTGCTCAAACCTGAGCAAGTAGGGGCCATTTGGGAGAAGGATGGGAATAAGGAGCCTGAAAGCCTCCATCTTCCGCATCAGAAGCCTGGGCTGTAGTGGAAGTCAGTGGTCAGGGAGCACCCTCTCTCCAAGCTAATGGAGTGAAGTGCTGACCTTGATCAGTTTCGGTCATACCTTCCTCTTCGTCTTTGCCTTTCTCTCCCGTTTTCTTTCATTCATTCATTCACTCACTGGATGCTATGGCCACCGATCAGGACACTCACAGAAGCTTCCCTCAAGGCGTTTACAGGCTAGCAGAGGACACGGGGGAGTAAATCACAGTTGTTACACGATGCGGGAACCTCTATGTCCGTGATGCAGGCAGGTGGGGTGGGGAGGGGGTCTCGTGGCGCTGAGGTCTTCCCAGCAGACTCTGCTCCTGCGGTGTTTTTCCCGACCTGTCAGAGTTTGCAGCCTTGCAGGCATCCTCTCCCGGCCGGGGGACGTACGTGCAGGGCCCAGGCGCCGGGTGCGAACAGCTCCATCAGGGGCCGAGGACAGCCCACCAGGGCCCTTCCCCGCAGCAAAGACAGCGGCCGGGTCCAGCAGGGGAGCCGGGCACGGCGGCTCCGCCCAGGACAGCCGGGGTGGGGGCCAGTTCCCATAGGGATAGCGGGCCAGGCAGGCCGAGAGCGGAGCCCGGCAGGAGTCGGCGAGGAGGAAGCAAGGCACGGCCGGCAGCGTGGCCCGTGAGTCCCGGGTCGGGAAGGGACGGGCCCGGCCTGCACGTGGCGCCTCTCGAAGCTGCGCGGCGCCGGCTGGAGCGCTGGGGGAGGCCAGGGCGGCGCTGGCTACGTCTTCCCGCGGCCGCGAGTTAGCAGCCGGGCGGGAGGGGTGGCCCCGCGCGGCGCCGGCTCGCCAGGGCCTGCGGTTCGCCAAGCTCCAGGCCTGCACCCCTGGGCGGGTGGCGAGGCGCGGGCGCGGGGCGGGCACCTCTGTCGGCCGGGTCTCCGCTCCGCCTCCGCCTCGCCGCCACCCCCGCGGGGAGCCGGGCGGTGTCTTCTTGCTGCAAGGAAATCAGACCCGAAATTAGAACCGGGAAGCCCCTTAGCCTTCCTCGACCTCCAGCCAGCTCATGTATCTTAGATCGGGTGAACTACAATATAACATTTAAAAGATAGATTATCTTACAACTCGGTTCGTTTTAGGATGATGAGTTACATTTTAACTTGCAGGGTATATAAAACAGACGGTTAAAATTGGGTTACCTAACTCTAGGCTGTCGTTGGGTCACGTTGCCATTGCTGAGGGGCGAGGCTTTAAAGCTGTGGGTTAATTCCTAATTCTTGATCAGGTTGGTGGTGTTCTGTTCTAGGTCCTTGGTGAAGCCGTTGCTGAATGGGACTCCAGTACAGTCTGTTCGTGCCGATGTTTTACAAGCGACATTTTCAAACTATGTGAAGATCCATTTTAAGAAAGTTTATTCCTCTGTGATGGAGAAGTATGAAAAAATTGGGAAAATTGGTGAAGGCTCCTATGGAGTTGTTTTCAAATGCAGAAACAGGGACACGGGCCAGATCGTGGCCATCAAGAGGTTTCTGGAATCAGAAGATGACCCTGTCATAAAGAAAATCGCCCTTCGAGAAGTCCGCATGCTCAAGGTAATGGATCCTTTTCAGTGAATTTTCAGGGGCTAAAAATTGGAGGCATGTTATGTTAAGTAAATGCCTTGAGGTATAGTTGCGTCTCCTCCCTTCAAGGACTTTTGTCCTCTGACACAAATGGAACGTCTGTGCACAAATCACCAATTATGTAATGAACTAGAAAGCAGAGATGTAAATACAGGCAAGGTGGTATTCACTTTCAGACATGCTATGAGATATTTTATTTTTCTTCCCAATAGCTTCTTTTCCATGTCACCTGTAGAGCTAGTTCTTTGAGAGTCATCAACTTTGAGAGTTTAAGAACATACCACAACTCAGGTCTGTTAACATGCATAATTTTTAAACTCCTAGGCAATCTTCTGTTGATGTTCTCAGTCCATTAAGAGAATTAATCATCCATCTTTTTTTCAAATTGCTAGGAAGCTGACAGGTTTTCATTACATTTGAAAACCTCACATTTATCTACCTCTGAGCATCATAATGTCCTGTCTTGAAAAGAAGGATTTTTCTCAAAGGAGCAAAATGATCACTTAAAAAATGTTTCTTAGTTAACCCTAGAAGACCATGATATTAAGGGGGGGGGGGGTTGTTAATTACAAGCTAAAACTTTTTTTCCCTTCTAATGGAAAGAGGTTTCTTTTCTGAATTTCTGTGAAGATGAAACCCAAACCACAAAGTAGACGTGTAATGAATGCAGTGGGGTTAACTTGGTTTCAAATAGTTAAGGTCTGCGTCCTGACATGCTGACTGACTACAGGACAAGGAAAGAGCACCCTCACGGGAGGCGAGTGGAACACTCGGCATTTTCTCTTATCCCTGCTTCTCCATCGTCTCCAGGCCTCTCTCAAAGTCCTCTTTCCCCGGGAATTAAGTATGTGGGATACCTCTGGATAAGGGCCTGGAATGGGAAGCAGCAGCAGGCTTTGGGTAAAGTGGGTGGATAATAGGAACACTTTCTCTGTTTGGATTGAGGATGTTCTTTACCAGCAGGATGTTATCTGTTCTGATAAAAACACTTCCAACTCCCTCCCCTTCCCGAAGTGCTCCCCTAGGAAGGGGTGAGACCAGCAGTGTTTGCACAGCCCACCCCCTGGCCCCCTCTGCCCTTCCCCACCCTCTACCCAGGGAGAGATTGCCACCATTTCTTTTGGGCTGGTGGGCAGTTTTTCACTTTCTCGGGCTTGCCTAGAGGAGGAAGTGATCATTGCATTTCAAAGTTCCTTTCCTCCGAAGAAAAGAAAATTTCCTTCTAGTGGAGACCCTTGTTCTGCTTCTGAAGACCCCCTGCGGCTGCCTTGCTGTGCTCCCTCGCCGCTCTCTAGCGCTGTAGCGCTTACAGGTGTGGCTCCCTTAACTAACTGAACTCTGCCAGGACGGGAACCTCGCCTCTGTATCTCTGTGTCACCTACTTTGGCACGTAGTGGGCCTCCAGTAAATGTTCTTGTTGGGTCTTTAAAAAGGTTAAAAAAGTAAGTTCTGAGGACAGGTGGGTATTGCCCATAAATTAGGAAGTGAGATGTGTTCTTTTGAATAACTGAATATTGATTTGCTCTAAAGGAGAGAGTTGTGCACACAGGATTTCAAAGCATGCAGCGTGCAATCCCCTCCCTTACCGCCCCCCCCCCCCCCACCCCGCCGTCAGGGCACAGATACGGACTCCCCGATCTGTATGAGGTGATGGGACTAGACTTCTGCAGAGACCGTCTCTTTAAGCCCTAGCTTTTCAGAATTCTCTGATATTCCTAACATATAATGGCTACTTAATAAATACTGGCTGAATAAATGAACTGACCGTTTGTGCACTAAAGTCATGTTTTTCCATTTATTTTCTCAGTAAATACTTATAGTCCCTGAAACAATGTTTACACCAGGTTGCGCAGCCTGTCTTGCAGATGCTTACCTTGTGCAAGGGAAGTGATTCCCCGTCGGCGCCCACTCAGGATAGACTGGGTTCCTACTGCGCAGGGCCTGTGTCATGTACCTCGTGTCCCCAGGCCTGGCAAGACCCCTCTAAATGTTTGTTGAATAGTGAAAATAAATTGTTAGGAGGCACATTTGAGCTAGACTTTGAGATGTTCAGGGAGGCACGGAATGAGAGAGAAGGCATTCAGGGCAGATAGTGTGTCCTAGGAAAAGGTGCATGAGTGGGAAGCAGTGTATGGAGGGAGCCCAAGTGATAACTCCAACGTCTTAACCAAGATGCCTGCCGTGTGCTAGCAGGTCGCATAGACAAGGGGAGGCCAGGAAGCCAGGGTCTAGTGGGAGGGAGTGCGAGTGTTTTCTGGGAACACCCTGGCCCTGGGATGTGACGGTTAGCACAGAGCTCCACGTTGGTCCCAGGTGGTCTTTGGGGTTTGGAGCCTGACCCCAGGGCACGTGCTGTCGCCCCTGAGAAGAGGAAATCGGTGAGAGGTAGGGATGTGTTTGAGGGTCTCATCTGAACTGGAATTGAAGGCAGAGCTTCAGGGCCCATGGGAAGGAGGAGTACCAAACTGGAAGCAAAAAACAGTTCCTTGGACCCAGGGGAAGGTTGCAGCTCAGTGACTCAGTGAGTTTAAGTTCCTAGGGTTTTCCTTGAACACCCCTCAAAGAGCTGAGGGTTTAAATGACCCCTGCAAAGGTCAGGAACCAGGAGCCAGCAGGACTAAGGCTGAAGGTACCCCAGTCACCTTAGCCAAAGCAGGTGAGGACCGACAGGTGCTGATTGCCTGGCTGCCCCCGGAGTGATAAGGAAAGCTGGAAAGACACCTCAAGACCAAATGTAGAAGACTTTGAATGCCAGGCTAAGGATTTGGGCTTTCTCCTAGAAAGAAAGAAGGGAAGCTAGCTGAAATGTTTTTAGAAAGTTGTCATTTGTGGATGTTTTGTATTTTCATAGACCAGTAATAGTTTAAAAAAAATTTTTTTTTTGTTTTTACAGATTGGGATAGGGTTCGTAGCCTTTTAAAAAAACCAGCTACCAACTATCACCATTGCTTCATCAAAGAAAAGACGTTGTAATATTTTTTTATAAACCAGGAAAGTCACAGTTTTAGAAAAAAGCAGTCTTCCCGAGAGAGAAGTTGATAACTACAAATAACATTTGTATAGATTCATTTCTCTGGTGTGTGTGAATGTATGTGTATAATTCTGTGAGTGTATCTATATCATTGTCCTTATTTTTCTTATTTTACTATCCATTGGTGAGAATGGTGACATCATTTGTTTTGTGAAGCCTAAATCTCATGAAATTAAGCACTATGTCTGGGAACAAAAAGATTCCCCAAGTCAGGTAATGTCCTGCTTAATAGGACCTATATTTGATACAACAAAACACTAATACTACAAAAGAACTGAATGGTTTCTTGGATTTTGTAATAGAATTTGGCCTGCATCAGTCAATCCTCAGAGAAGTCCTTGTTTGTCTGTCTCTTCTTAAAACTGTTTATTTAATAATTTAAAGCAACTATCTCCCAATAGTTGCTATTGAACTCTTAAAAATATTTGTTTCCTCTTAAGCAGGGATGATTGTAGGAGTGAATTGTCCAGTAATTGATTGTGTAATTTTTAAGGCAGCACATCTACAATGAAAATGTAGCGCTATATATTGGTAAATGCTTGCTTGCTTTTTAAAATATTCTCACCCGAGGATGTGTTTATATAGTTCGGAGAGGGGAAGGGAAAAAGAGAGAGAAACATTGATTGGTTACCTCCCACATGCGCCCTGACTGGGGATCAAACCCACAACCTAGGTATGTGCTCTGACTGGGAATTGAACCTGCAACCTTTCAGTTTACAGGACAACACTCCAACCAACTAAGCCACACCAGCCAAGGACTTGTTAGTAAATGCTTTTGAGGATGATAACTATTATCAAGAAATCTGTTTTGTTAATATTTTTAGAAAACATTTTTTTCTGAACATTTTAAACACTTCAAATAGCATTATTTTGTGCCATTTGAAAAAATGGGCGACACAGTTTTATGAGAAAAATTTAGTATTTGTACTAATAAACTACTTCTTAAACTAAATATAATTCACTCTTCACCAAGAGGTCCTACTGCAGTGAAACATTCAATGTTTTAATTTTGAATTATATTTTATCCAGGTTAGATAATTAGGCTTTATAAAAAATAAATAGTTCTTCCATTAAAATCAGTCAACTCATACTCTATTTAAGGACAAATTAAGTTCATTCTAGTGACAGTAATAAAATCATACTGTAATACCTGAGCTCAAAGCAACTATCCTACCCTTTCTCAACCTCATTTTCTTTTTTTAAAATTACATTTATTGGGGTTACACTGGTTGATTAGATTATATAAGTTTCAAAAGTACAATTCCGTAATGCATTATCTGTATATCGCGGTGTGTGCTTACCACCCAAAGCTTAGTCTCCTTCCGTCACCATATATTGACCCCTTTTACTTGTTTCAACCTCTCCTCACTCCTCCGCCCCTTCTGGTAACCACCATACCGTTGTCTGTGTCAATGAGGTTTTTGTTAGTTTGCCAAACTCATTTTACATTGTGGGGGGAAAAAAGGGAAAAAGTCAGTATTTTTAGTTAGTGCTTTGATAAAACACCCATGCAAAATATAGTTGACATGTGTTCATTTGGCAGTTTTTACAGAACTCTTGCCATGTACCAGGTGCTGTTCGTGGACTCTTTTCTCACAGAGACAGAAAGACTGAGAATAAACAAATAATGATATGTCGAGTGGTGAAAAATAAAACGAGATAAGGCAGGGAGAGTAACGGAGGGGCTTGTCTTCTATTTAGGGTGGTTAGGAAAAGGCTTTCTGAAGAATGCCAGTTGAAGGGAGACTGGAAGGCAAGGTGAAGGGAGGACTCCTGTCGCTATCCAGGGCATAAGCGTTTCAGGCAGAGGGACGGCCCCAGGGCCCCAAAGCAGGATCAAGTGATGTGTTCTCCGCATGTTCCGGAGTGTCTGGAGCAGAGTAAGTAAGGTTGAGGGTTATAGGAGATGAAGGTAGAGAGGTAAGGGGGTCAGACATGA